GGGGGGGGCATCAATATGGATTGGACCACTTAAAATATACTAACAATAGCATCCAGCTAAATAGAGGTTGGAGAAATTGATTGATTCAGCGATGAATTCGTCATAAGTGGCTGTTGGATAAATTGAGAAACTATGTAATGAATCTGATATTGAGATACTCCTTGGTTTGTGGCGGATGTTTTGCAAATATTGATTGGATAGCACTTAGCAGACAGAAAGACTTTTGCTCTCCTATCTAGAAATGTTACTATTGAATTTAAGATGACACGTGTGTTCTGATTTGTCTATGTGGTTGTGTTTGTTTGCGAGAAAGTATTCCTGTTTAGGGGGAGAGACACACTTGCGCTACTTCGGGTAATGGCTATAAGGAAAAATCGAAAGAGAACTATACTCAACTAAACAGCTAAACCCATAGGATATTCCACCCCATGGGACATCCGATGACATCTCATTATTGTGCCAGCACAGGCCCAACGTGATTTAATTGTAATATAAATATAACTGGATACGGATTTTATTTGACTTGTATGAAACGGATGGCTGCGGTTACTTTTATGTCTAACATAAATTTTTTTGAATTTGGGTGCTTTTGTCAAAAGCATTTTTATCCTACACAGAGCATGAAATGTGAGTTTTCTACTTTATTTTTACCTTTGCAGAGGAGATCACACCTGGAGTTATATAACAATAGGCGTGGCTAAGAAAGAACGGAAGGAAGATGCGTTGGATGCAAAAATAGAAGCCACATTATCTAATAGATTTAATGACTAAATTGCCCTCAAATCTTAATTAAATTCCACCAAACACACATGTCGAAACCACTAGCTCTTCTAAAGAAGAGAAAAAGAAAATCTGCAGTCACAAAACCAAAGAACCAAAATGAAATTTGCTAACCCGGAGAGATATTTCGAAATCTAGTTCATTAAATCAGTTGATATATAGGAAGCAAGAGAGGATAACAGTTTCTATCACAGCCCACGGCCTTTCAATTGGCATGGAAGCCATTAATAGATTTCCAAATCTAATACAGTTAAGTTCCAGTAATTATTCATTCCATTGTTGAATTGTTTGCTAGTAATGCACTCCGACTAAAAGCACTAACATGGACTGAACTCATACCTTTTTAAGTTATAGCCAGAATGAATCAAAATCAATATCTGGATTCTGGAGGCATTTAATTACAACTCATAGACTGACTCATACTCTCTTCAAATGACAAATATTTTACCTATTTCCTGAAGTTCTTTCTCTGCAGATATTCTTTACATACTTAAGGGAGGGGGGTACCCAACTAAACAGCAATGGACAACTGGAATTCATATCAACCTATTGACCACTGGACAGTTCCACAATAATTTTTATGGGAGATAGAGAAGTATAAGAATGTTTCAAACTGTGTGTCCTCCAAGATTACGAAACTAAAGATCTAATGCACGAGTCTACATGAAATGAAATCTCATTGCTCTTACAAAGATATTGCCTCAAGACATGATTGGTTTTGGATAGAGTGCTTTTGCTCCAAGTATTCAGAAAATAGAAAGTAGAATACTGAAATAGATAAGCACCAGAACAAGATCCCAAGCAAATAAGAAACTCAATGAAAAATTTGAAAGCATATTATAAGTTGCTATGCTAAAATGGTTGATGAGATATGCCAGTACAATTCTTTCTTGCAAGCTTGTGTCATCAGATTGAGTTGATAAATCCACCTAAGAAGCTGACCTATTTATTTCCCAAATCCATGGTATTGCAAAAAGTAGAATCAAACTTTGAGGAGTGGGTAATGTAACCTGCAAACACAGCAGCAGACTTTTATTTGCACAGGAAAAGAATCTTATAAAAGAATGGAGCTGTTACCAAACTAGTGTTTGTTATGGCTTTGGTACCAGGCTAATTTCCCAGAGATGGACATCGTCTATACTTGGCCTTTGTTCAAACAGTCCACACCTTCAGAGAACAACTCACCTCCATCCCTCATATTTTCCTTTTTATTTTGTATCGAAGAACCAATTTCTCACATAAAGCTATCATGGTTCTTATTTCCTATCTGTGTCTCTCTCTCGTGAATTATGTCTATGTAACTTAAGTTTTTGCGAAATATTTATTTTCAACAGCTTTACTTTTCTGTTAAATCTTCGAGATTCTTGATCAGCACTGTCACAAACTAATGAATTACCATGATATATCCTAAAAACTTGATATAATTTTATATGATGCTGAATGGGACCATCGTCTTGATTGCAATTTTTTTTCTTCTGAAATACACAGATAAATTTCCCGATGGGAAAGTACAACAGAAAGCCAGTGATGCTTTTGCAGAGGGTACTCCCCAAGAACTAAGCCTCCAGAAGCTTCTCTAAGAATGACCATGATCATGCTTTAAGACCACCAAACCAAGGACAAAAGTGCGACAATTGCAAACAATGTTGAGGTCAATGGGAACAGAGAAGCTTTGCTTCTAATAGCCTGTTTGGCCAAGCTTATTTTTGGCCAAAAGTGCTTTTTTTTTTGCCAAAAGCACTTTTGGCCTCAATTTGAGGTGTTTGGCCAAGCTTCTGGAGGGAAAAAAAGTGCTTTTGAGGAGAAGCAGATTCAGTTTTGGAGAAGCAGAAAAAAGTAGTTTCTCTCCAAAAGCACTTTTTTGAGAAGCACTTTTGAGAAAAATACACTTAGAAGCAGTTTTTTAAAACTTGGCCAAACACTAATTGCTGCTCAGAAGTGCTTTTCAAACTAATTAGCCAAACACAAACTGCTACTTTTGAGAAAAACACTTTTGAAAAAAAACACTTCTCAAAATAAGCTGATTTTTGCAGCTTGACCAAACGGGTTATAAAGCTACTTCCACTGGTGGCTTAGAAGTAGCAGATTTAGAAGCTTCTCTCTTCCCCTTGACCTCAGTTTTCAAGATTTGCAAATGTTTCACCCATTTGTTCTATGGTTGGTGGTCTTGAAAGGATCATGGTCATTTTTAGAGAAGCTTCCTAAGCTCACTCTTGAGGAGAACTCTTTGCAGCAACAACACTGGCTTCTGTTGTACTCCCCCATCAAGAAATTTATCTTTGTAGATCTGAAAAAAAGTTTTCCTATCAAGACTATGATCCCGTTCAACACCATCAGAAATTGGATCAAGTTCATAGATTATATCATCATAATCAGTTTAGAAGGTTGGTTAGGAATCTTCAGTATTTAACAGAAAGGGCAAGCTATCAAAGATAAATCTTTCCCTTGAAAATCGAAGCTACATATACAGAGTTCACGAAACCGAGAATTTATTTTTTAGTATGGGTTTTTAGACGGGTAAAGAAAGGAGTGAAGGAGGATTTGGATAAACAAGGTTGCCGGGAAGTTTCCCAGTTAGTCAAGAATTTTTGCGGTGATACTTTGCTCTTCAGATTCATAGAGGCTTTTATAGTAGCCTCTTCAAGGGTGGGGTTGAGTGGTTTCATAGCTGGACGGGTAATATTTTTGAGAAGGAGCTGGAATGGTAATATAGCCGTTATGACATCAAGTTTTTCACAACTCGGAGAGGATTTCATGGGATTTGGGAAATAAAGCATTAAACGCTGATTTCAAATGAATTTGAAAATCCATGGCAATTTGGTCTTTTTGCTAAACTGGTCTTGACTGGATTGGACTTTCATTTTTTTTAAGCTTTTATAAATAAGATAACTTACTTAAAATATAGTGTTACATGTGATAACTAAAACAAATGTTTCAAAAAATAGTAAATCAATATTTATTTAAGTCTAATAAATTAATAAAAGAATAATACTCAATTGTAGTAAAACGAAAATAGTGGTAGGGTTGTAAATGACACCAAAACATATGGTAATGGCAAAATAACCATAATTGTGAAAATTGCAGTGATAATAGTACCAAAAATAGAGTTGAATAGTAAGAATAATAATAAAGTCTTAAAAATGATCAATATGGTTGTAAAATAAAATAATTATAGTCAAAATAATGACAATAAAATGTTATAGTAATTAGACAGAATAGCCTAATAAACACTTCTACTTGTCCCGCTTTGTCATCCCGGTCCCGATACTCTATGAAGTTTCATCCAGACACTCGTAGTTTTTAAAATACATTACTTTAAACCCCTCCAGCCTCGCGTGTTCTTCAAACACATGATGTGGATGACACATCATAGTCCGCATCAGATTTTTAATGACACATCATTTTTTTTACTTTAATTTCAAAAATATAATTTTTTTCCTTTTTTTCACTCCACTCCTCCCCACCCTTGACCACCTATCGCTATTTTTAATGCAGAAACAACACCATGATTTTACTGCCTTTACTGGCGGGAACACCACAGTGGACAACTAAAACCCACCATTTTCCAACTTTCCATCGTCCATCTCCCTTTTGGAGATTTTTGTCAAACACTGCTGCCCCACCACTTCAAATCTACCATGTAAATCACCTT